TAGACCTGTAAATCAAACAGCTATAGTCCTGATTCAACAAATCACTTAGGACTTGTGATTAAGTCTGTTATTCTTTAAATGTTCCATTGGAGATAATGGGACTTAAGCAAGCGGTTAAGTGCTTTGCTGAAATGCAGCTGATGGGAGACGTTATTGAAGTGATATTTACAGCATGTATATCTAAAGGATATATTTAGAAAAGGACAATTTAATAAGCAAGAGTCAATATGAATGTTTGAAAGGTAAATTGTGTTGGACAAATTAGATTACTCTTTTAATGTAATAACTAACAGTCTGGGTAAACAGAAACCAATATATTTAATATAACTCAATCTTTAGAAAGCTTTTTTGACAGCTTCATATAGTGAAATTTGTTGTATACGCTCTCTAAATAGTAGTCAGATAATAATTGTTGATGAATGAGGAATTGGTTAATTGGAAGACAGAAGGTTGGAAATAAAGTTATGTATACTTCTTGATACTTGGTGAGGAATGAAGTTCCACAGGGCTCCACACTGGGACTAATATTTTTAGGTATTGGTTTTTTATTTAGTAATAGACAAAACAGTTACATGCAGAGATAGAAAAAGGATCTACATGTACTGAAAAACTCAGTATTCTACAACCTGGTCAAGTATGCAGGTGAGGCATCAGCACAAAAGGATGTTGACTTTTATCAAGAGAGATGAAATATATAAATATAAGGATGCTATGCTACCTCTTTATGAAGTAGCAGCCAGATCTGGAGTAAAGTGTCTAGTTTTGATCACCCTAAATATGTGACTATGTTTTCCACAGTACAACAAGGAGTAACTAAGTTGATACATACAATACATGAGGAGACATTGAGAGCAGAGCTGATTGAAAATTTCCAAATGGAACAGTTTTTCCTCAGAAAATGCTGATTTGATAAAATCAAAATGCTTCATGAGAACATATTGATTTTATAGAAATTTTCACAAGAAACAATCAAAATATTTCATTTAGATTTTTTCATCTTGTTTCAGATTGATCATTTTGATTTTCATGTTATATTAATACATAATAGCATATATTCAACCTTTTCAACCTTATCAAAATGAAATATTTTAGAATATTTTGTTTTGCAAATAATTAAGATTAACTTTCTGTTCCAAATCAGGAGAAACCCAAATTTCAAAATATTGACATTTCCTGGGAAATGAAAATTCTGTTGTGTTTTTTATTTTCTCCCGCTCTAATTTTGAAATGATGATGATGATTAATAAAAGTGACATTGTAGAGGGGCATTTTAGCAACCAGCCAAGTGTCCAAGCCACTGCCAATTATTGGAATGGACTATCAATTATTCTGCTTGTTGCATTTAGCCATGTAGTAGGCTTTTGCAGGAACTTTGCATAACTAAGGCGAGGCAGGAGAGGTAGGCAGCTATCACATGACATGAATTTGACTCTACGCTCTCTCTGACCTGCTGGGGTAAACATCTGTGAAAAAAACAGGAAGTCTGGATATAGTTTAGGACTGCCATTATGGGGAAACATAGCTGCCAGATGAATAGCTCAAAACTGCTTGCTTAACATTTTTTTAAAATTATTATTTTTTTAATGACATGTTTTTGTAACTCCTGCTTTTGCCTAACAGTTGAGTTTGTTTGGTCAACTATGTTGCACTTTTGATTGATATGTCTTTGTAACTTTTTGGGTATAAGAGGGGAATTTTGGGTTTGGGATAAGTGGATCGCTTTGTGGATCTTGAGCCACAGACGGAAGGCCGGCCACTGGAAATCTGCTGTCTGAATCACCCTAAGACCACTCCAGACTTGTAGAGTAACTACTAGTTTGGGATGCTCTATAACACATTGTGTTTGTATGTGCTTGGGACTAAATAAAGCAGAGACTTTGAGTAAAGGAATTCTGGTGAGAGTGCTGGAGACTAAGAAAGTGCTGGCTTTCAGTGAAAGTACTTGTTTTTGATTTATTTGTGTCAGCACAATGTCTCCCTTGGTTTGTCCTGATACCACCTCACAGAGAATAAAGTTACTGAGAGCTTTGGGTTTGGGGAACCCCAGGTAACAACATGAGTGAAACAATTCAAGATAGTTAAGGGCTATTACAAAAATGTAACATAGTTCCTATCCGAGGTTGCTGGACAGACCAGAATTAAAAGTCATTACATTTAAACTGAAAAAATAAACAAAGAATTTCAGGAGGAATCACAGAATGACCAACAGGCACAATACACTTTAAAAAGAAGGTGAGTAAAGTTATACAAATTTCTTTAAATACTAAAGGACTATGAATTTAATAAAATAAATAAAACACAAGCTTTAAATTCCAGTACTCCCATATATTCTGCATTACTTATACATTAACAATTCCCATTAATTATAATATGAATGTTGTGGGGAAGGGCTGTTGGATCAGGCCCTAACTAAAAAAGTAACAGGAATCGCAGAGTCAGTCATTGTCCGGCCATGCCATAAAGAAGACAGAAGGCAATGGATGTGGTTTAATTAGGCCACAACATTATTCACTTAAAATATCTGGGACAACCCAACAACCAATTGTACAGTGTAGGCATCATCCTTTCCTTAATCATTTCCAAATAATCCCCAGCTAGGTCCCAGTCGTTCTGCTGCTGGGACCCCATCACCCGCCCCTTACATGAGGTGAAAGGGGTGCATCACCGTAAATGTTCTCTCTTCTCAACACCCTTTGTAAGGGACCCCTTTAAAGGGCACTTCCCCTTTTTCTTCCAGCTAGCCAGACAAAGACCCTTTCATGTGAAGATAATGGTGGCCACAACCTAATGTGTGCTTTTAGATTTTAATTCTTTTCCATTTTGCAGGTTCTGCATTTCAGCTCTGCCACAGCACAGACATCAAAGGGAATGAAATGTAACTTGGAAAACTGTAGAGAAAGGCTATTGTAAAGCATTAGATACCACACTCCAAAAGATAATGAATTCAGCTAAAAACTTTCATAGTGATTTTTTAAAAGTATTTTTGTTCAACGAGCAAAGATACCTTGTCCTATGAAGTTAAATCAAATATAGATTTCACCTGGAGGGTGTGAATCTGGAAATTTATGATTAAAACACAGAAGTTGAAATATCTTTATAATAACGGGCTCTATTCTGTTTTAAATTTAAAATTATTCATATACATGCTGTTCCTCTTCTATGAATCAGCACAGATTAGTATGCTGGCCAAGAATGTCAAATATATCTATAACATACAGCAGCTTTTGTGAAGAGCTAGGCTAGAGCTGGGGTTGAATTACTAATTAGACATGGCTATTACTTTAAGACCATATATTGAACAGATCCTGTCATTGACATGTGCCCTGCAACATGAGCAGCAATCTGGCACAGAAAAGAATGCTTCTCTAATTTGAATGTGCTTTATATAATTAATATGTCAAGGCCAGATTGTATCTTTTTTTTCTGCTTTTCATGGGAGGATAAAGGAAGGGAGAGTGTAAGGAGCCTCACCTCACTTGTACTCCTGATCAAAGGCCCTGATCCTGCAAGCAGTTCTGCATTGGCTGATCCTATTGACTTCTGTGAGGCTCCACAGGGACCCACCTGCATCTAACAGCATGTAGGATTAGTACCTTATTAGGAGAGAGACAGAGAGAGAGAGGGGGAAGGATGGAAGGTGGATCCACATGAGAATATGAGAAATTGGTGAACTAATTGAGGAGCAAGTGAGCTGAGCTACAGGGACGGGAGATCCCCTTTGGAATGACACTTCATGAGAGACGTAATTCTGTGATGGATGCAGGTGCCTTGATGCCAACTCTGATATCTCTAGGCTCTGTTGTCCTTAATGATTATATCTTAAAATGTTAAAAAAAATCTATTTTAGTGTATTTTTCATTTACTGCAAGAGAAGAGAGAACACACTTCTACATGTAGAAACTCAGAACCAGCCTGGGGGACGGGGGTGGAATGGGAAGGGGAAGTATGATTAGAACTCCACCACCACCACCACCATAAATGAAAGTAGGATTTACTCTAGCAAAAAAACCAAAAAACAAATGCCTCCATTACACTTCGTCTTACCCCAGGCTCTGTACTGGGTCCAAGGAATGACTCCAGCAACTACCTTTGTTTCTTCCCCTCACTTTGACAACAAGGAGCCTGAAATGGAAATGATTCTTGCCAGTTTCACCACTGCCCTCAGGATTCTCAGTTACAGCAGTGAAACTGATGGCAGCCTTGATCATTCTGCTGCTGCTTAGGAGCAAGAGCTGAAGCACTGGAGTGGTTGGTGTGCTGACTCAGTAAAACAGCACTGTACTGATTCACACTTGGCTCATGTTTCTAAAGATCACCTCTGCAATCAGAAATTCAGCAGAAACTTAAATTATGTAGAAAGTGATCACATTTCAGAAAATGCCTCTCACTCCTGAAAAATAGGCATCTGTTTTGTTTGTTTCATTGTCATCCAAGCACTGAATTACATAATATTCTGTGGTAACTGGAGATATGATATCATCCTGTAAATATAGTCTGACGTATAATACAAGACACGAAGGACTACAACACAGATCTAAGCCCTGGTCTACACTAGGACTTTAGGTCGAATTTAGCAGCGTTAAATCTATTTAAACCTGCACCCGTCCACACAATGAAGCCCTTTATTTCGACTTAAAGGGCTCTTAAAATCGATTTCCTTACTCCACCCCTGACAAGTGGATTAGCGCTTAAATCGACGTTGCCGGCTCGAATTTGGGGTACTGTGGACACAATTTGATGGTATTGGCCTCCGGGAGCTATCCCAGAGTGCTCCATTCTGACCGCTCTGGACAGCGCTCTCAACTCAGATGCACTGGCCAGGTAGACAGGAAAAGAACCACGAACTTTTAAATCTCATTTCCTGTTTGGCCAGCGTGGCAAGCTGCAGGTGACCATGCAGAGCTCATCAGCACAGGTGACCATGATGGAGTCCCAGAATCGCAAAAGAGCTCCAGCATGGACTGAACAGGAGGTATGGGATCTGATCGCTGTTTGGGGAGAGGAATCCGTGCTATCAGAACTCCGTTCCAGTTTTCGAAATGCCAAAACCTTTGTCAAAATTTCCCAGGGCATGAAGGACAGAGGCCATAACAGGGACCCGAAGCAGTGCCGCGTGAAACTGAAGGAGCTGAGGCAAGCCTACCAGAAAACCAGAGAGGCGAACAGCCGCTCTGGGTCAGAGCCCCAAACATGCCGCTTCTATGATGAGCTGCATGCCATTTTAGGGGGTTCAGCCACCACTACCCCACCCGTGTTGTTTGACTCCTTCAATGGAGATGGAGGCAATACGGAAGTAGGTTTTGGGGACGAAGAAGATGAGGAGGAGGAGGTTGTAGATAGCTCACAGCAAGCAAGCGGAGAAACCGGTTTTCCCGACAGCCAGGAACTGTTTCTCACCCTAGACCTGGAGCCAGTACCCCCCGAACCCACCCAAGGCTGCCTCCTGGACTCAGCAGGCGGAGAAGGGACCTCTGGTGAGTGTACCTTTTAAAATGCTATACATGGTTTAAAAGCAAGCATGTGAAAGGATTACTTTGCCCTGGCATTTGCGGTTCTGCCTTTGCAAAAGGTTTCTGGGGAGGGCAGCCTTATTTCGTCCTTCATGGTAGGACACTTTACCACTCCAGGCCAGCAACACGTACTGGGGAATCACTGTAGAACAAAGCATTGCAGTGTATGTTTGCTGGCATTCAACCAAAATCCGTTCACGCGGTGGGAGGAGGCAAAATGCGACCTTGTAACGAAAGCACATGTGCTATGTATGTAATGTTAACAGCAAGGTTTACCCTGAAAGAGTGTAGCGACTGTTTTATAAAATGTGTCTTTTTAAATACCACTGTCCCTTTTTTTTCTCCACCAGCTGCATGTGTTTCAATGATCACAGGATCTTCTCCTTCCCAGAGGCTAGTGAAGCTTAGAAAGAAAAAAAAACGCACTCGCGATGAAATGTTCTCCGAGCTCATGCTGTCCTCCCACACTGACAGAGCACAGACGAATGCGAGGAGGCAAATAATGTCAGAGTGCAGGAAAGCACAAAATGACCGGGAGGAGAGGTGGAGGGCTGAAGAGAGTAAGTGGCGGGCTGAAGACAGGGCTGAAGCTCAAAGGTGGCGGCAGCGTGATGAGAGGAGGCAGGATTCAATGCTGAGGCTGCTGCAGGACCAAACCAGTATGCTCCAGTGTATGGTTGAGCTGCAGCAAAGGTAGCTGGAGCACAGACTGCCACTGCAGCCCCTCTGTAACCAACCGCCCTCCTCCCCAAGTTCCATAGCCTGCACACCCAGACGCCCAAGAACGCGGTGGGGGGGCCTCCGGCCAACCAGCCACTCCACCACAGAGGATTGCCCAAAAAAAAGAAGGCTGTCATTCAATAAATTTTAAAGTTGTAAACTTTTAAAGTGCTGTGCTTACAGTGCTGTGTGGCATTTTCCTTCCCTCCTCCACCACCCCTCCTGGGATACCTTGGTAGTCATCCCCCTATTTGTGTGATGAATGAATAACGAATGCATGAATGTGAAGCAACAATGACTTTATTGCCTCTGCAAGCAATGATTAAAGGGAGGAGGGGCGGGTGGTTAGCTTACAGGGAAGTAGAGTGAACCAAGGGGCGGGGGGTTCATCAAGGAGAAACAAACAGAACTTTCACACCGTAGCCTGGCCAGTCATGAAACTGGTTTTCAAAGCTTCTCTGATGCGTACCGCGCCCTCCTGTGCTCTTCTAACCTCCCTGGTGTCTGGCTGCGCGTAACCAGCAGCCAGGCGATTTGCCTCAACCTCCCACCCCGCCATAAACGTCTCCCCCTTACTCTCACAGATATTGTGGAGCACACAGCAAGCAGTAATAACAGTGGGAATATTGGTTTCGCTGAGGTCTAAGCGAGTCAGTAAACTGCGCCAGCGCGCCTTTAAACATCCAAATGCACATTCTACCACCATTCTGCACTTGCTCAGCCTGTAGTTGAACAGCTCCTGACCACTGTCCAGGCTGCCTGTGTATGGCTTCATGAGCCATGGCATTAAGGGGTAGGCTGGGTCCCCAAGGATACATATAGGCATTTCAACATCCCCAACAGTTATTTTCTGGTCTGGGAATAAAGTCCCTTCCTGCAGCTTTTGAAACAGACCAGAGTTCCTGAAGATGCGAGCATCATGCACCTTTCCCGGCCATCCCACGTTTATGTTGGTGAAACGTCCCTTGTGATCCACCAGAGCTTGCAGCACTATCGAAAAGTACCCCTTGCGGTTTATGTACTCGGCGGCTTGGTGCTCCGGTGCCAAGATAGGGATATGGGTTCCATCTATAGCCCCACCACAGTTAGGGAATCCCATTGCAGCAAAGCCATCCACTATGACCTGCACATTTCCCAGGGTCACTACCCTTGATATCAGCAGATCTTTGATTGCGTGGGCTACTTGCATCACAGCAGCCCCCACCGTAGATTTGCCCACTCCAAATTGATTCCCAACTGACCGGTAGCTGTCTGGCGTTGCAAGCTTCCACAGGGCTATCGCCACTCACTTCTCAACTGTGAGGGCTGCTGTCATCTTGGTATTCATGCGCTTCAGGGCAGGGGAAAGCAAGTCACAAAGTTCCATGAAAGTGCCCTTACGCATGCGAAAGTTTCGTAGCCACTGGGAATTGTCCCAGACCTGCAACACTATGCGGTCCCACCAGTCTGTGCTTGTTTCCCGAGCCCAGAATTGGCATTCCACAGCATGAACCTGCCCCATTAGCACCATGATGCATGCATTGGCAGGGCCCATGCTTTCAGAGAAATCTGTGTCCATGTCCTGATCACTCACGGGACCGCGCTGACGTCGCCTCCTCGCCCGGTATCGCGTTGCCATGTTCTGGTGCTGCATATACTGCTGAATAATGCGTGTGGTGGTTAATGTGCTCCTAATTGCCAAAGTGAGCTGAGCGGGCTCCATGCTTGCCGTGGTATGGCGTCCGCACAGAAAAAAGGCGCGGAACGATTGTCTGCCATTGCTCTGACGGAGGGAGGGGCGACTAACGACACGGCTTACAGGGTTGGCTTCAGGGAGCTAAAATCAACAAAGGGGGTGCCTGTACATCAAGGAGTATTTCAGGCAGGACTGCACGGAGGGTTCCAATAAGAAATGGTGCACCTAAGTTATCGTTGTTATTGGAACAAGGAGGTTAGCCTGGCCTCTGATTGATACATGGCTAGATTTACCTCGCTGCACCTTCTCTGTGAGTGACTGCAGTGTGACCTAGAGGAATGAGTCCCCTAGACAGGGGAGGAGGCAAATGAGTACAAAACAAATCTGGTCTATTTCTTGTTTTGACCCACTCCATCTATCTTTTACATCTTTGGCTGGCAGCAGACGGTGCAGAAGGACTGCATGCCATCCACATCTCATGGCTGCTCGGCAGAAGATGGTACAGTACGACTGCTAGCCATCCCCATCTCTTGCCTGCCTGGCAGAAGATGGTGCAATACGACTGCTAGCAATCCTCATCTCTTGCCTGCCCGGCAGAAGATGGTACAGTACGACTGCTAGCAGTCCGTATCGCCTGCCCGCTCACCATAAGATGGTTCAATAGGACTGACTGCAGGACTAAAGAGAATGACCTAGTCAAGTCACTCCAAATTTAGTCCCTGCGCCCATGTCTGCCCAGGCGCTCCCAGCCGACGCGGCCAGGAGCACCTCGGACACGATGAGGACGACTACCAGTCGTATTGCACCGTCTGCTGCCAGAAGGCAAGGGGTTGCTGCTACTGTGCAGCAAAGCCGTACCGCGTCTGCCAGCACCCAGGAGACATAGGGTGACAGTTACCTGAGCGGGCTCCATGCTTGCTGTGGTATGGCGTCTGCACAGGTAACTCAGGAAAAAAGGCGCGAAATGATTGTTTGCCCTTGCTTTCACGGAGGGAGGGAGGGAACGGGGGCCTGACGACACGTACCCAGAACCACCCGCGACAATGTTTTAGCCCCATCAGGCATTGGGATCTCAACCCAGAATTCCAATGGGCAGCGGAGACTGCGGGAACTGTGGGATAGCTACCCACAGTGCAACGCTCCGGAAGTCGACGCTTGCCTCGGTACTGTGGAAGCGCTCCGCTGAGTTAATGCACTTAATGCACTTAGAGCATTTTCTGTGGGGACACACACACTCGAATTTATAAAACCGATTTCTAAAAAACCGACTTCTATAAATTCGACCTTATTCCGTAGTGTAGACAACAGTTAAGCCAAAAGGACATGCACTAAATGAGACAGACAAAACAGGGATGGCTGGAGTCTCTTCAGATCTTTGGCTGTGTCAAACCTAAGCATCCTATTTCAGTGACTCATGGTTCTGTGGCTGGGAGTTGTTCTCTCCCTTCCCCATAGATTAGGGCAAGACAGTGGAGCTTCAATGATATTTCCTGTCTTTGACAGATATTTTTTCTCTGGATAACGGCTAGACATATAGTGCATTTTTAGATAAATCTCCAGGCTGAACAAAGAAGCTGCTCCATTGGCCAAGTAGTGGAAGTGGAGAAAAGGGAAGTTCTGTAGCTGGCACTGGGAATGAATAGTACTTGGGTGGAGGAAGATGTGATGTTTTGGGGATCACATCAGACATAGAGACATCTAAAGGCTCTCTTTGCTCCCAGACATATCCTCCTGCTAAATTTCAAAGTTCTGCTCCAAACCTCTGAGGTGCTAGACACAAGAGATGGTCAAAGAAATGAGAAAGTTTTAATGCTATTTTCTCTCGAACATTTTTCTCAAAAATGACTACTTGTTTTTGTTTTTTCACTAAAATGTAAAAAATCAACCTGAGGCAAAGACCAAACCTGGAACATTTCAGCCCAACACGGGTTAGGGTTTGGCAATGTTATAAACAATTAAAATGGTTAAAATGGGAAGTGTGAGGTGGTCTTAATAATAGTTGTTACTAGCATCCAAAGGAGAAGTGTAGTTCAGTGCTTTCTCACTGAAAACAAAGTAAGGAAACAGTTCAGATGGCAAACTCCGACTACATGTTTTCAAATTTGTAGCAACAGAACAAGCTTGTTAATCATAATGTTACAACATTTGCATTCTAAAATTATAATGTTCCATTAGGAAGCCACCGTACAATGCATCAATACCTTATTATGTCATCACATTGATAAAACCTCATCTCCTGACAATGCAGTGTGATACTATAACATTCTGCTGGCTCCAAGCTTGTTTACTTCCTCCAAAATAGACTTTCAGCATGCTATGACCTAACAATAATATTCCTAGGTTAATACTATCAGTGAAAATAAGACTTAGCTATTATACAACAAAATTTCTCCAAAGAACTATGCAAACAATTATCTAAGGTCATTGTGGCAATTTAATGTTATTTTCTTGAATTCAATCAGTTTAGTAATCTTCCTAATTTGATTTTAATAGAATATTTTGATTTAATATTCCCTAATCATATTTCTCAGCATCATTCTGAGAAGTATTAGCTATATTTGTGCCACAAAAGGGGGACAGGGGGATATATCCCAAACTACAGTGTAATCTAGAGACTGAGTGAAGCATATATATAATGCAAATTTATACGGGAATAATTGTACAACTAACACATTTATTGTCTCCTTAGAATGGCAACCACTTCTTTTCTAATGAATTTTACAAAGGAATTCTATTTATAGTGCATTGAACTACTTCCCATACTAAAAGCAGTGTGCTATCTCCCTAAAGACTACCACAACACAGATTGCCTTATGCATTGCATTGCATTATGTCCTAAAGTAGACCTTAGGATGTCCTATGGTGTTATCTGCCATGTTTTAAATAATTTCAATCTACATCAAAACTCCACTATTTCCCCTATTTCTTATCCCTCAACTTTTAAAAAAATAATATTATTGAGATTATTGCTCAAAAGTGCAGGTGAAACAGCAGCCAAATAATCTTTGTTCTGTCAGACAAACATGCTGTCAAATAAATCCTGCATGGCCACATAATTTAAGATGGAGAATGAGTTTCTTAATTAGCTGAGCTTTCAAGCTAAATCCTGCTCATTTTACACGAGTAACTTCACTGACATTAAAGGAACTACTTGTAAGTACTACTTGTGAACAGAATATTCCTCCACAGGACCCAGGGCTGCCACATATGTTTACAATATAATATTTCAAGGAAGCCTCAGCTGAGCATTATTTTCATTGATTAAAATATTGGACTAGTATAAAACATATGATTGAATTGGATCCTAATTATCTGCAGCCATATTTTATTACTAAATGTAAAACACACCCATCTTTACCAGATATACTTCTACACATATACATATTTCAAGTGTTATTTCATCATTTGTCTGCCATTTTTACTAGCTTCTTCACTTTGGTTATGTCTTCACTACCTGCTGAATTGGCAGGCAGTGATCAATCCAGGGGGGATCAATTTATCGCGTCTAGACTAGATAAATCGACCCCCGAACACTTTCCCGTCGAGTCCTGTACTCCAGCGCCACAAGAGTTCAGGCAGAGTCAATGGGGGAGCAGCAGCAGTCGACTCACCGTGGTGAAGACACCATGGTAAGTTGATCTAAGTAC